TATTACATATTAAAATAATATCTTGAGAACAATGCAGCTGTTTTTGTTTTGCGTTATTCTTTGTTTTCTATACAAGTTTTAATCTATACTAAACTGTGCCTACTGCTCTGCTCACGTAGGCTCGGTGTAGATGGCTAATAAGATTTTTTCTTGTTTTAGATTGAGAATGATATGGAGAACTATACTAAATATAAGTTGGTCGGGGAAGCATTAAACAAGCACAGGCTAAAGTTCCACACAAATTCATATATCAACAGGAAAAGGAAAATAAACCCTAAGAGATCTGCAGTGCAAAAACGTTATCATATAGAAAATTTAGAGAAACTATTAAATAAAGATGAAACTTTGGCGTTACAAAAACCTGAAGAGATATTTGTTGCTAGCTGTAAAGACGAAATGGTAATAGAAGTTCCATTAAGTTTCGGAAATAATTATAAGTGTTTAGAAATATAAAAAAAGTAAGGGAGTGCAAGTAAACCTAAAAGCTATGGGTGTCCATAAATCAACCATGACTGTTAACAAATATTAAAAAAAGAGGAAAATAATATTTTCACCAGACGCAGTATCTTTTAGTAGTATGAACGACATATTTTCTATTTCTCTTCACATGAAATGTTTAACTTTGATCAAGAATCAAAGAATCCTATGGAAGATTCAGATTCGGAACCGATATGCGAAACACTTTTTTTAGAAACTATATGCAAAAGGCTGCCCTTTGATCCTTATTTAGAGAACCACAACTGTTGTTAGGTTTACCTAAAGAATGCTATTTTTGTATTAATATGTTATCTGAAACAAGATAACGTATTCCGCGAAATATAATAACTTTTAAAAAAATACGCTTGTATCAACGTAATACTATTATGGCTTTGGATTTTGGTTTGTCGACTAGTTCTGTTACTAAAATCATAAGGGTTACTGTTCCGGCTTTAGTATCTGTACTTAAATCACTTGTATACTTTCCAACTTCATTCGATGTTCACATGAATTTACCTATTCCATTTAGAAAAAAATACAATCAGCTTCAAAGCATTATGGACTGTTTCGAGATTCAAATTGAAAAGCCTGTTGATGCCGTGAAGCAAGCACTTACGTGGTCGAATTACAAAAACTGTAACACAATAAAATATTTAATATCAATATCACCTGACGGGTTAATAAATTTTATTTCACCAGTGTATGGCGGCAGACTAACATATTTATGATTTTTTGAAGATTGTGGTATTTTGCAAACTTTACTTGAAGGATCAGCAGTATTAGCAGACAGAGGTTTTAAAAATATTGCGCATTTGCTACAACAATATGGACATACTCTTATGAGACCTCCTAGCGTGAGCACTAAAGTAAAACCGAGCAAAAAAGAAGTTTAGAAGACAAAAAAAAATGAAGCGTTACGGATACACGAAGAAAGAACTATCGGCAAACTAAGATTGAGTTCATCTTGCCACACGCTTGTGTAGATCTAAAGCAAGTCAACCTGTTAGATTCAGTGGTTATTTCTGCATATGGAATAGTTAAACTTCAAGTAGTATGTTTCATTTAAAGTATCTTCCTAGAGTTTAAAGCAAAATGCATTTAAGTGTATTTTATTGCATTAAAAATATAATATTTTGAGGGTACGTACATTCCCATTTTCCACCAATGTTTGTGTTATTTATAGTTTTAATAAAAAGTATTTTACACTATGATAATGTTATTTTATTAATTTCCTGAAAATATTTTCCTTCCAAAAATTTTCATATTTTTTAAAAAGATCATAATAAAAGTGTATTATTTATTGCACACGTAATAAAAGTGTTTTCCTTAGTTTTCGTCAGGCAAGGCACCAATCATAGGCCACACAAAAAAGACAAAAGACCAGATTCCACTATCTTATATTGTGTACCTTCGCGACTTACTTTACGACAATCTGTTCTAATATTTTTCCTCTATTGATAGCATTCATTTCATTAAAAGATACATCACCAAATATTTCTGCAACTATAGAGCCATCTTTTGTTGTACATTGAGCAGGTTCGTGCATTTTTGAAGCTGTTATCCTTCCGTAGCGCGTATAAAACCACAAATTTGAATCTGATTGATCTATTGTACCCTCTTTTACTTGAAGACATCTTGATTCCGTTACAGATATTCTATTTCACGAAGTCCGTTTGACTATGAATGTTGTAAGGTCTGTACGTGCACACTGTTTTAGTGTGCGTAACCTCGGGAGCGCTCAGTCACGATCGCGACGCGGTCAGTCACTAGTGTTTTGTTTCCGCGCTAAAAAAATTCAAAGAGTAACGTCAGCATGGCAAGTAAACGCAGAAAAGTTGTCCACAGTGAGGTAACATTTTTTTTTAACTATTGTTACTACTTTTTGTGTGCTATTAAGAGTTTATCTATCTAATATTATGAAATTTGTTACTTAAATAGGTATTTCGATTTGGTTTTGTTCTAGGGTCGAAGCATGATAGCTAGCGTTTATCATTTCCTGCGAGAAGAGTATGAATTCACAAAATCAGTTGCGGAACCTAACTGTGATTTGTCTCATTTACGAGATATTACAAGGCGTACAGCTGAGGCTACAGGTGTTTCTATGAAAACTGCTCAACGGATATTAAAAGAAGAGAAGAAATTGCCATCCTGCTCATCAAATTTCACTTCTCCTATGAAGAAAAGAAGAAAGCGGGATAGTAAGATAGAAATAGATAATTTTACAGCCGATGTTGTTCGCAGTACTATACAAAATTTCCATGTCATCCATAAAGAAATTCCAACGTTGGCTAAGTTAAAAACTGTATTAAATGAAAAAATTGGTTTTGATGGTTGTATCGAAACTGTTCGTCAATTGTTACTGAAGTTAGGTTACAAGTAACGTAAAACAGAGAATAACCGTAAAGTTTTGACGGAGCGTCATGATATACAAATGTGGCGTTTAAAATTTTTGAAGAAGATGTCAGAATATCGCAGTCAAGGTCGCCCAATTGTGTACACCGATGAAAGTTATGTCCTTTCAACACACGTGCGAAACAACACCTGGGCACAAAAGAAAGAGAGTACATCATTCTTAAAAAAAATTAGCACAGGCACTCGCTTTATATTAGTACATGCGGATACAAAGGATGGATTTATTGAAAATGCTTCATTGATTTATAAAGCCAACTCAAGTGCTGGCGATTACCATTCTAATATGAGCTACGATAATTATGTTAAATGGCTAAACGAAAAACTTTTACCCAATTTATCCCCACGCTCTATCATTGTCTTAGACAATGCTTCATATCACAACACACGGACTGAAAAACTACCGACGTCGGCTACAAAGAAAGCAGACATGCAGCAATGGCTCAGGGATAAGGGTATAACATTTGAGCAATCTCTCCTTAAATTGGAATTGTACGATATTATAAAAAAACACAAAGATGAACACATAACGTATAAAATTGATGATTTTATTAAGAGCAAGGGTTTTGATGTCATACGTCTTCCCCCCTATCACCCAGAATTAAATGCTATTGAAAATATTTGGGGTATTGTAAAAAATTATATCGCATCAAAGAATATCGAACAAAACATGACGAACATGGAAAGACTGATCTTTGAAAGCTTGGATAGAGTAACCAGTGAAACATGGCAAAAAACCTGTGCTCATGTTGAAAAAATTGAAAAAGAATACTTAAAATACGTCGACCTGGATTTTGAGTTCATAATTAACTTAGGGAACGATTCTGACGAAAGCGAATCGGAAATTGAATTTGATAGTGATTAAGTGCTGATTTTTTTGTTTCTTCTCTGTAATAAATAAAAATATTATTTACTTTCAACTGTTGTTTCTTTTCTCTGCAACTTATCATTCTAATAGCTAAATATTATTTACTTAAATTGTCTATATAATTTATTAAATAAATATATAATGCGTGTCAGATTTCTTTCCTAACGCTACCTACGTTTACACACACTAGCGCGCCTATCACTACACGTCACTACTACAACCAGAGCCAAACGGACTTCGTGAAATAGAATATCTATAATTCGAAACTATATAATGTTATAAAACTTTCAAATCGACTTTCGATTTAGAGATAGAACTTTCTCAGTGCCATTTGTTGGAGGATGAAGCTACAGTTGATTCGCATATTGGGCCATCGAATGACAAAAATTCTAAAGGACGTTATGACATGAAAGGATGGGCTACAAATGATAGCAAGAAACTACGAATGGAAGGAAAATAATACTTAGGGTATCGGCGAGATAGTAAAGGACCACAGTTCAAGATATTACATGATACTGTTAGGCCAGCAAGATCAATTGGCCCTCGATGTACTTCGAGTTTTGTAAAAAATCTAAGCTTCATCGCTATGATTCAATAACAGAGCATGAACGAATTATCTTATTCTCCAATTATCGTAATAATATGAAGTGGGAACAGCGTAAGCAATACGCTGTTTCAAATGTTCAGGTATGTCCAAAAAACAGGTCACTTCTAAGGAATCATCATCTAGGCGTGGTGAGAGCAGAGTATTTTTTAGAAACTTTAAATGATCGTGTACAAGTCTGCAAGAATACTTTTTTGAATGCATTTGGTATCAAAGAATGGACAATACGTTATTGGTTATCCACTTCTGTGTTTAGAATGGCAAAAAAAACTGAACTTAGTCATCAGGTTTTAGAAGGACACTTCAAAAAAGAGAAGATTGCTTTTTTAAAGTATTTTCTAAATGGTTTGCCAAAATACTTTTTCACTACTGCAGAGCTACATCTCCCAGACAATATCTGGAGCCCATAATCGAAAACAAGAATCATCTTTTCAAAATTTATTGTGACAAATGTAATTCAGAAAATAAGAAACCAGAGAGAGCCGATGGTCCTTTGACAAAATATTCAAAGAAAATAATTTAAGTTTATATCAGCCGAAAAAAGATCAGCGCGATACATGCTGCGCTTTCAAAGCAGGTAATATTAGTGAAGACATCTATCGCAATCACGTCTTTCGAAAAGAGGCAGGTAGAGAGGAGAAAATGAAAGACAAGGACCGAGCTTTAGCAAGGGAAGTACATGTATTTACACACGATCTCCAGTCAGTCAAATTATGTCCAATGTTACAGGCAAGTGCTTTATATTATAAAACGAAGCTTTGTGTTCATAATTTCATAATGTATAACCTGGCTACAAAAGATGTTAATTGTTACTGGTTTGATGAATACAACGCAGGTTTAGTGGCTTCTGTTCCTGCATCCTGTGTCATAAATTGCTTAAAAAAAAGTCTTGGAGGAAATCCTATGCCGATTATTCTATTTTCTGATGGATGTACAGCACAAAACAGAAGCGTCGTTTTGGCTAATACTTTCTTAGATTTGGCTATGGAGTATGAGGTAGTAATAACCCAAAAATCCTCGAAAATGGTCATACTCAAATAGTTTGCGACTCAAGCCATAGTGCAATCGAATGCAAGCTCAAAAATAATGAAAACTCTTTACCTTCCCAGTATGCTTTGATTTCTAAGGAGGTTCGACCAAAATAACCGTTTATCGTTCGCTTTCTTTCTTTTGACTTTTTTCATGACTATTCAAATAAAAGTGTTTTTCTATACGAATCCATCCGGCCAGGCAGTCGCAAACGATCCTACTGAGGTTGATTTAACGGCGTTGAAGTATAATTCTAATGGTATTATTAAATATAAGTTAAATTTCCAGCATGACTAAAAGTTTGCCCAGAAAAATTTTAGACCAGATCCAAGGCCTAAACTTTATAATGGCTATCAAAAAATTAATGAATCTAAAAGGAAACATCTTCAAGAACTGAAATCAGTTATACCTCCTGACTGTCATAGTTTTTTTGATATTATACTTCATTAAAAAATAAAATGACTGATATATTTTACTGAATTTTGTATTCTTGCTAAAAAAAAAATGTATGTAAAATTAGACTGATTCAGCATAACAAATACTAAAAGTTCCTTTGTTTATGTAATTTTATATCAAATAATATTATAGATAGATAAATAATGTTAACTCGACTAAAATATATTTATATCAAAAATACTTCACACACGTATAGGCGACAGCCATGTGACTTTGCAAACAGTGCATGAACGGCCCGCTGGCGCTCGCAGCAAGTAGTGGCCGGTCGATTGTGTCAGACGAGCGTTTTCAATGCGTGTTATTAATTTGTCGTATATTCTATCAAATTGTAATACGTTACTCTTTAAGGTTTTGTGTCAAGTAATGAAATCACAATATAAGTCATCAAAATGGTAATTATGGCTTTTAACTGTGTGAATTAAATTATTAATTTAATTGCTTACTTATAACATTTATGAAGAAATGTACCAAATAAAGTCTACATTTAAACCAGGCCTTATTTCCGACCCTAGGCCTTAATAGGAAATCTGTTGAATGTTAGCTTTATTGTGTATGTTTACAAATTGATAATCTCAGTATGTCTCCACCAAACGGACAACGGACTACGTGGTCCGAAGAAAGCAAGAGACAGCAGTTCATGATGCGGAAGTTTATCGACTTACAAAGCCTCGGCGCAATATAACATTCCGAGAAGAACTGTTAGAAATAATTTAAAAAGTGGTATTTTACATAAGAACTTGGGAAGAAATACTATATTTGCGAAAGAGCAAGAAAAAGATATTGTGAGCAATTTGCAGAAACAGGAATATCTCTTACACCAAAAATTATTCGAATTCAAGTATTTGCTTTTTGTGACAAATATAAGATTGCCAATAATTTCAATAAAGAAACAGGACCGGCTGGAAAAGGCTGATTGAGATTATTTTTACAACGAAATCCAGACTTAGCCAAACGAAAAGTGCAATTCCTTAACCCAGCTCGAGCCCAGAAATTAAACAAAGCTATTGTCGCTCATCATTTTAATGAAGTTCGCAAGCTTTACGATGAAATAGACCTTCATTACCATCCTGAAAAAAAAAATATGGACGAGAAGGGCTGTCTTTGGATATGGATTATGGATTTTATTGGATATGTTAATGCTATAGGGAATCCGATACCACCCATGATTATTTTAAAGGGAAAAAGGAAAAAGCCGGAGTATAACGATAATTTGCCTGCAGGATCGATTATCCACACGGCACCAAAAGAAAGTATGACAACGGAACTGTTTACTGTTTTTATTGAACATTTAGCAAATTTTAAAACTACTGGAAAATGCCGCATTATCTTTGACGGTGCCAAATGCCATCTGTATTTTCGTATTGCCGAAACAGCTGAAAAACATGACATTGTATTTTATTGTTTACCATCCAATACGACGCACGAGTTACAGCCTCTTGACAAAGCTTGTTACAAACCTTTTGAATCTGATCAAAGGCCATAACAATTAATATAATTTAAGGATACAGGCTTTGTTCGATCACTATGTTTTAAAAAGGCCTAATGCTAAGGTTCCAGGATTACCTCTTTTTAAATGATTTTTCATAACAAAGAACAGTATGTTTTCATATTAAATAAAATATATAAGCCAAATAATTATGCCTTGTAGTCTTGTGTAGTTCGCGAACGACCTAGTTCAGAAGAGCGATCTTATTGACGAACTGCGAGAACTAGTTCGCAGACCCGTCGCTCCTTAGTTCGTTCGTTCCACGGCGCTCGGTGCGGCGCTACTGTATTGTTCACCATTGAGCGGCGCGTGGCGGTTTGGTGGCGATACTTGTATTATAATATATTTCATAAATGTTTCCTTGGCTTGTATATTTATTTAATTTCTTGGATAAGTGCAATTTAATTAAATATAGGGTAATTGTGTTTTGTTGTAGATTATAACCTAACCTAGTCTAACCTACAAAGATGTCAACAAAAAGAAAACATAGTTCTTTGTGGAGACATTTCACGGAGGAAAACGATAACAAGAAAGCAAAATGCAAGCACTGTTCGACATTAATAAGTATTGCAGGAGGCTCAAATGGAAACTTAACTCGGTACATGAAAACAAAACACGCTTTGATTCCATTAAAAGTTGAACGACAACCACAAATTATATCAGTTTTAAATTCAGTTCAATCTAACCTAATCCACATCCGATTCGGGTAACAATATTTCGTTTTCTTCCAACGTAGCAGAATCCCAACAAACAATGAATGAATACATTCGTAGACCACCGCCTATCCGAAAGGTTGAACAAATAGATAAACAAGTTGTCAAGATGGTTACCAAAAGACATCACGCTTTACGAATAGTTGAAGAAACAGAGATGCGAAAACTCATCGAATTGGTTTCTCATTGCCCAGGCTACCAACTCCCAAGAAAAACTTTATCAGAAAATATAATATCGAGAATACATGAAGAAATAAAAGCCGATGTATTAAATAAAGTGCAAGCTGTAACTGCGTTGTCTCTCAGTACCGATGGTTGGACGTCTAGGAATAATGAAGGTTTTATAGCCATTGTAGCTCATTTTATAGATGAAGATACGAAACTTCAATGGGCTTTACTTGGATGCATAAATTTTGATGAAAATATATAAAATTGAGAATGCTCGAATAGGCCTTCACGCGAGCTCTGATAGTAACTCCTCCGGTAATCGCTAACAAGATAAGAGGGTCAGCCGCAGCAACCGAAAATTTTAATCACGCAGTGAGTCAACCTCAAGTAATTTTAAGAAAAGAAGCTGAGAAAATTTTGGAATCTGAATCCGATGATGGAAGATGTAGTAAAAAAAGGAGAGGATCGTCTATTTCAAGTGAACCTTCTAAGATGGCCAAAATTGAGCTGCTAGAGACTCGTATGAATGATATGTTTATTTTCACATCCTGAAAAAAAGATGCGTGTGACCTTTGCGAAACATACAATAATTCAAATAAAGAAGCAAAACAAAAATAAACGATGGCTTATGAGCAATATTAGAAAGAAAAAATATTGCCTAGAACAGAAAAGGTAGCTGACAAGCAAAGAACAGATGTATTTGTTGCGGTTTACGATCTTCAAGCTGTAATGCAAATTCCTAAAGCTCAAGCATATTTGTTTTATTATAAATCGAAAATGAATTTATTAGTAATTTATTTGCAAAAATTTAGTTTGTTTCTTTTGGGACGAAATTAAAGGCAAACGTGGAGCTGTGGAAATAGGATCTTGTGTGCTAGAGTATATAAAAATATTAGTTAATACTAGGGATGTAACGATACCGATACCGATATATCGGCCGATATAATCGGCAGGCCGATATATCGGCAACGCCGATACAACACGGCCGATATCAACCAGTTCGAAAAGCGCGCGAAACGAACGACGCGTGCGACGTTGCCGCTCTTAGCGTCGCGTCGTCTTACCGGTCGCTTGGGCCGGCCAACACAATGTCCCCCGGCCCGGCCCCAGTGCTTGCTAAGCTTTGGTTGAGAAATGTCGTGTTTCAATTTACGTTACGTCGCCGCTTTTATTTTGTAATTCATTCTGTTTAATTATTGACACTGACTAGTGAGGACTGTTACGGTGTTTTAATTTATATAATAGAAAATGGCAACGCCATTAAAACGTACAAGTTCCATCTGGAATCATTTTCAAATAAAACAGGATGATGATACAAAAGCAACTTGTTTATACTGCAATGTCAGCGTTTCTCGTGGTAGTAAGGCAGTTTCATCGAAGGGCTTTACGACATCTAACATGTGGACACACGTGAAGCGTTATCATGAAAAGGAGTTGAAAAACGACACCCCATCTACCTCGACGACTGAGGCCGGTCCGCCACTCAAAAAACAAGCTACTTTGGAACACATTCTAGACAAAAATGTTATGTATGATACTGATGACCCCAGAGCAAAAGCGATCACGCAAACGATAGCTGAACAAATATGTGTAGATATGGAGCCGTTCGATATAGTAAATAAACAGGGGTTTCAACGCACCATTAAGCAGTTGTGCCCGAAATACAAAATGGTTTCCCGTCCACATATCTCTGAAAATGTGATACCAGACATTTACTGTCGTATGAAAACGAAAATAAAAGAACTTTTGCAAGAACTTCCGCACATAATTGTAACGACTGACTTATGGACTAGCGACGCTTCTTCATCCGTGAACGACTTTATAAGTCTGACTGCTCATGGAGTGAATAACAATTTTGAGCTAAAGAACTACTGCCTAGCAGTATTTCCTTTTGAAGGCGAAAGACATAGCGGTGAAAACATAGCTGAAAACTTACGTCAGTTATTTCAAGATTGGGCTATTGACGAACAGGTACGAGCTGTAATAGCAGATAATGCACCGAATATGGGGCTTGCTGTAACACAATTGGGTGTGGAACGTATCAGATGTATGGCACACTCTTTACAATTAGTGCTGAAGGATGCGTTTTCGGGAGAAGAGAAAATAAATGAAATTATTACAAAGGCGAGGTCTATAATTGGTCACTTCAGTCATTCTACTTCGGGTCGTAAAATCCTTACTGAAATGCAAAAATCTCATAATGTTCCTTGTCATGTGCTCATCCAGGATGTCGTCACTCGCTGGGATTCTACCCTTCAAGCGCTTAGGAGACTTCTTGAGCAGCGAGTTGCGGTTCAAGCATCTTTACCCCATGTGAAATGTAGAACTGAATTGGCTACAGAAGAGTGGGTACTAATGGAACAGGTTGTCTCAGCGTTGACTTATTTTGAAGAAGCAACAAAGTCCATTAGCCAAGAGTCTGCTTGTTTGTCTGACGCCATACCGCTGATCAACAGTTTGCGAAAAGTCTTAGATCGTATCAAGAACACCACGGCTATGGATGATGATAATGCTTATAGCCCTGAATATAATGCTTTTACACTGAATTTGATAGCTGGGATCAATGATAGATTTGATTATTTAGAGAACGATGAAACATTTATTTTAGCAACAGCACTAGATCCGCGCTATAAATTGCGTACGTTCACTCTGCAATCTACAAGAATGAATGCGAGAAGAATGCTGATTTCATTAATTACAAATAATACAAACAGAGAGAGTCCTCATTCTACAGAGGCGCCGCGACAAAATCAAAATGAGATTTTCTCGGGTGTCTGGTCTGCTTGTGATAGTTTGATAAAAGAAGCCGAAGACGACGAGCCTTTATCAAACATGTCTATTCAGCCTGAGCAAGAGGAAGTAGAATCTTATTTAAGATTTCCAAACATTCCAATCAAACAAGATCCAAAGATCTATTGGCGCCAAGAAGATAAATATCCAAAATTAAAAAAGCTTGCACAAAAATATTTGTCTTACCCAATGAGCTCAGTTGCTTCAGAACGTCTCTTCTCAACTGCAGGCCTGATACAAAATGATTTGCGTAACAGATTATCTGCTGATAATTTAAATAAACTTTGTTTTCTTAACAAAAATCTACCAAAAGTAAACTTTAATTACTGACTTTATGTATCTTTTTTAACCCTAGACACCTAACTTTCGTCGAATTGAAGAGTACGCCACACTAATATCATTATCTGTTTTTGGCAGGCCGAAAGGTTAGGTGTCTAGGGTTAATTAATAACTATGTGATTGATTTTATTTGAAACTAATAAACGTTTTTTTTTCCATTCTAATAACTGATTTTTTATTATCTAAGTATTTTTCCTTCATTCTTCAGGACCTAGTGTCAATATCTTATTAACTTCCTTCAAATTTGTTTAATATACATAAAGTACTTTAAGCCATCAATATCGGTATCTGTATCGGTATCGCCGATTATTTTCGTTTAAAATCGGTATCGGTATCGTATCGGCAAAAATATGTATCGTTACATCCCTAGTTAATACCAACTAATGCATATAATAAGTGCTAAAATCATCAGTGCCAAACACTAGATGAACTTATAATATATTTACTACACGAAAATATTATACTATAAAGGTGCACAGCTATCCAGATACCCCGATACCTATATAAATCTGTTGCAATTTTTTGACCGAGGAAGGCCTTCTCATCTATGTCGATCGATTCAAATATCTAACTATATATATTACTAACTTGCAGTGTGATGATTATTTTATTTTCCGTACTTTTACTTGATACCAATCCATGTTTTCGTTATATATTCCCAACAAAACTAAAAACACCATCTATCACTATTTTTATAAATATTATGATATTATTTTTTCCAGATTCAATATGAAAATAAAATAGTAAAAAATCTCAGAGCGAAGTGCACTTTTTTTTTACAAAAAAAAGGTAAATAGATTAAGTGAAACGATTTTCGGCTATAATCAAAGATTTTCAGAAAGGAAATTTTATAAATAATGAAAGGTCCATAGTTTTGGAAGATTGTGCAGGACCCCAAAATTTTTTGAAAAGACTTTCTAAATCTAAAGGCCTATCTTTAAAACAAAAATATAATGAAGAAATAAGAAAATTGGCCCTTACCCTTCATTTCTATTCTCGAAAAGCGTATGAATTCATACGTAAGACCTACAACACTTGTTTGCCATACTCGCGAACACTAAGTGGTATCAACATATCGATACTTAACCTGCTTTTACCAAAGAAGCTCTTGATGCTTTAAAAAGGAAAGTTAGTAAAAGCAATCACCCTGTGATTTGTGTTCTAACGATGGATGAAATGGCTATCAGAAAATTTTTAACCTGGGATCCAAAGGCACAAAAAATTTTATGGTCACGTTGATTGTGTTCATTATATTAACAGCGACAGCGTGGAAGAGGTCAATCAATATTTGATGTTTCTTATAACAGCAATAAATGGTTCATGCAATTGACAATTGGATATTTTCTTATTATATCCCTTACAGGCGAGCAAAAAACTTCACTGGTGCAGATAGCACTACAATTTTGTTAAGACGCTGGGGTTAAAGTTGTTAGTACGTATATAACCAGCGATGGTTTGGTTGGTAATTCCAGTATGTTTACATCTACGGGCTGTAACGTTCTAAAAGACCAAATTTTAACCTATTATCAAAGTAATGGAAGTCTAGTGCATATTTTCATCGAATCCTGCCATGATATAAAATTGATTAGAAATGCTTTTGGAGAATTGAGAATCTTTATCGATGGAATAGGAAGAAATGTTGATTTTAAATATATAGAGTTTCATATGGGAACTAAACTAGGTATTAATAATAATAATAAATTTTTATTTCAGACCCAATAATCTATATTAAATTACAAATTACAGAAACATGATTCCAAATAAAAATATCACATAATATGGCTTTATCTATGTAACACATAAATTCAGGTGACAATATCCAACCATCGTCGTCTATATGTTACAGTTTGCACAACTGAACGATTTGAGTATAAAAGAAAAAATTATAAATTATTAAAGTTAGTTTAAAGCAATACCTCGCCGAGAACACACGTATTCAGTTACACTCTGGACTACCTAAGCAAGTTCATATTTAAAGTAAGTGATGTCTCATCACTTTCTCAACACGAACGACAAAGTGAAGAACATAATAAAAGAGGATCGTCTTCATCAAAAAGCGAGGAGAAAAAAATGTTATCCGACGCGGCCATCGTTATCGAGGACAACTGCTACCTAAGTCCGACGACATCAGAATAACACGACTGGAACACGAGGACGGCATAGCACCGGAGGTGGACTTATGGGAAAATACACAAGCGATATTGGAAATAAGCGAGGACACGGAGAGGGAGAAAAAAACAGTGGGAAAAGGGATTGGAAAGGAGAAAAAGAAAGTGGGAATGAAAGTGACAGAGAAAATGATGGAAAGGAAGTGGAAGAATTCAACATTATTCACTATGATAAAGCAAATTTGGCACACCAAATACACCGTGCCGACCGCGGTAAAGGTAGTACCGCGCCTAGAAAGAGAGGCAATGAAGGCAAAGAAACAGATAATATACAATACGGTAAACGCTCTAAAAGAGATAATGAAGAGTTTTGTTTTATATCTGAAGAGATCAAAAAAAAACATCGCTTACACGTCCTTCGAAAGTTTCGAAGAGTGGAGTTCAAAAATAGAATTATCCACGATATATTCGAGGGTCCAGAAACTGGAGAACTCGATAGATTTCATCGAATTTTGTTTCCCAATTTTCATAGAGGAGTATCAGGCGTGGGCAGAGAAAATGGAACAAGAAGTACAGATGGAGAGCGACCTAGAATTACAGATCGCACAGGTCCGAAAGTCTTCGTCATTGCCACGCACAATCACAACCTCCACGTCATCCACGACTGCTCATATTCAGGAAGCACTTGCAGATGCAGTATCATCAGACGCATCTCAAACTTTCGAGTCAATGGACGAAGCGCCGGTACAGAAGAAGAAGAAAGTATCTTTTCGAGTACCGAAAGATACACACAAGAGATCCTCGAAGACCACGAAAAAGAGAAGTTTGGAGTCAGCGACATCGGAAGAGGAGGAGGATATGACTCTGGAAGAGGAAGAACCCAAGAAGAAAATGAAGATGACTTTCGGCTAGACCCCTTCGACGACCTTCTGTGAACATTTCTGAAGCACTGCAATAACGTTTCAGTTTCATTAGATGTCGAAAGATGTTATTATACGTTACTCGTAGGCCATCATGTGCTTTTTTCGTGTATTCAATCCAGAGTTGACACGTATAAAAATGTTGGCAAAAGGACCTAGAGAGTGTTAATTTCACATCATTAGAAGCATATTTTTACAAGTCAAGGGGCTGAGCAGCACCATATCACATATATTATTTGATAAACAAAAAATGAAGGTCAAACTCGCCACTTAACTACTTAGCAACTCCGTGGCAGATGCACTACAATTCTGCAAAAACAAATTAAAATTGACAACGTTTGATGAATGCAATGGCACTATTAATTTTATAAATGTAATAAATAACGTTTTCGACGTACTCAACAGCCACTCTATTCGTCCTCAGGGTTGAAAAAAGCCATGTGCCCTGAAAAAATTGGCTTTATGAGAGCATTATTCGAAAGTGCTATCAGTTATATAAACAACCTAAAACTACCTACAGGAGAAGTAATAATAAAAAGTAGACGAAAAATGGGATTCTTAGGTCTGAGTATTGGAAAGAAAAGTGCATTAGCACTCTTTGAGCACTTAGTCGAGGATACCAAAGTTTTGAAGAAATATATTCCTCTATATAAAATTAGCCAAGATCATTTAGAATTGTTCTTTTCTGCTATAAGAGCTAGAAGAGGATTCAAAACCAAACCCAACGCTGTACAGATTCGTGCCAGGTATAAAAAAATATTAGTAAACGCCGGAGGGTGGAGTCGCTAATTGTATACCTTTACAACAAATTAATATTTTGACATGTTCCAGCAATAATCCAGTACCTGTAATTAACCAACTATCCACAATAAAAGATTTCGCCTAAATTGTTGAAGACCATAGCAATCTCTGATATCTATCAAGAAAACATATCTAATATAATATGTAGTATATACGACCATCAAATCTTATAATAAAATTACTAATATATTTGATGAGTATTTTGTAATCATACCAATTGAATAACATCAATTGCAACGCATTTGATTCAGCCCACTGATGTTACTGGGTTTAAACTTTTCAAGGAAGAATGGAAAATTACCATGTATGAATGGGAAACTCAACCTGAAAATGTCAATAGTGTTTTGACCAAGGCAACATTTTGTCCATTAATCAAAAAGGTCTTAGATAAAAAAAAAATGTCTAGAAAAATCAATGGTTTTCACAAATGTGGATTATACCCATGAAATCCAAACGCTTCGGACTACTCAAAATGTATGCAGAATAATCTTGAGAAACATCATAAAATTACCATTAATTCGAAATCTGCGGGTAACAAAATTAATCATCTAGATAATGGAGTAGATACAACTATCAATGTTTTGAGTCCGGCAATGAATATGACAGGACCAAATTCAACAAAATCTCAACTACAGATTTCACAATTGATAACATTTCTGCCTGTGGTATTTGATGAAAACCAATCAAAAATAGCATCAGGATCAAATGAAATTATTGACAGAATTTTGCCAGTTATAGGTGATTACACATTAAAAAATATTTTAATTAACTTTACAGAAGAAGAGTTATTCTTGCAGAAATTGGAAATCATAACCAATGTTGCAGTGGTTCACAAATGTGGTGAAATTCAAGACCAGACACCAATTTATGTAGCAAATGATCAAGATGGCGACTGTGTTAAAGAATGGCCAACTAATCAGTAATCATCATAAGTACTAATCATGGTATAATTGATAAAGAAAATGAAGATATGGAAAATACAAGAGAAGCATTGCTCCCAGAAAATAATAATTATCTAATGGATACCTAGTGTGAAAGACATAAGAACAGCTTGTAACCTTGATTTAATCAAAAATAAAACTGAACAAAATATGACATAACATATGCAATCTGTACTGCATGAGAGTAACAAAGATGTAAAAAAAACAAATTACAAATATTTTCCAATGTGATTGTGAAAGTGCGAGATGTGTCACCCTTTTTAAATAAGTATTTAACCTTACCTGTATACAATAGAATAGGTGCTATTTTATCCAGAGAGTGGAGACAGTTTGAAAGACAAAAAGAAAAAGAAAGAGCAGCTCAAAAAAGGAAAGCACTTTTGTAGGAATGAACTGTTAAATACAAAGTGTGTCTAAGTATACACAACAATAGTTTAAGTGTGCACAACAGAGCTTGCAACATATTCAATATATGAAATAAGATAAAGTTAAATTGAAATAAGGTAGCTAGGGCTGATAATTTATAAGCACCATTCATTGAAGACCTTTATTTATATAAATGAAGAACAATGATAAGTTAAATTGTTATATTTAGAGCTAAAGTGACATGCAAAATATAAAAATAACTTACAGTATGCCATTTCTTTCAAATACTCATGTCGCATAACACAATACCTCATTGCTATGCTCTTTCGATCATCAATTTGTACGGTTTAACAGATATGTATAAAAGTTCATCACAAAGTTTTTCAAAGCATCATCTCATTGTATACAAAAAGAAGAATTGATCAAAACAATCATCATAAATGTGGTACTTCGGATTTGATTTATATGTACAAATTTATCTACATATTAATACTTAATTAAATATATATTAATAATTAAAACTATAAAATAATTAAGTTGCGTGCGTAAGTGTAAAACGATGTTAATCACGGTATACCAGTATAATGTATTATCTATGCGGTATACAATAGTAGGTACCCAGTTACTAAAAAAATTAATAACTACTTACTTAGAATTTAGGTTACATTAATAATCTTTAACTTTTTGTTCATCAGAACCACAGAACAACAATAATAATACTCTACGAGATCAGAATAGTCACAGTCACATCCAGGGTATGTTCCGATATACACTGCGAGCACTGCGCAGTGGTCTTACTGCTGAAAAATCCGTTCCGTCATGGACTGCCAGTACACTTGCGAAGGACGTTATTCACGATAGACAGTTATTCAACTAGTGATCTGCCTGAACCATAGACATCAAAAAAAAGGACCGGCCATACCTACCAAAAAAGGCGTATTAAGCCTGAACGTACACTGCTATAGTACCCTAGGGAAATTTATGACGTCATAAATTGCCGCCATATTTGTACTGTGAGCACTGGAGATTTCGAGGTAAGGTGCTCGCAGTGCTTTTGATCACGTGATCAGTCGAAACAGAATCAGAAAATGATAAGTTTCTAAATAAACAAAACAAAAATACTTACGTTTATTAATAAGATAGATTTAATTGATAAATATTTTTTTTATACAATTTTCCAATTTTCTTTTGAAAAGAGGGAATCTTTATATTTATATTCACCTTGCATTAACAAATTTGAAAATGGCGCCAAAAAATAGGATTAACAGTATACTGGACTGCGTTCCGTTTTAAAAAGTCACCAGTATAACTAACTATAAAGGAACGGGCTTCCAGTATACTAAATTGACGTCATACTGTTCAGTGGTCGCAGTGTATATCGGAACATACCCCCAATCTCCATAATCACATCCATCACATGAACTAGGGTTTCCGATCTCGATTTGACTATATCGTAAATCGAGCTTTTTGACCTCGATCTTTGATTTTTTGCCACCCAGATTCATCACAAGATCGTCGCAATACACAAAGATCAAAAATCCGTCTTTACTTTTATTATCTATAACGAATTTATATTTAATTAACTTAGAAAACATCAGCTATCATAACAAATTATTATTAGGTAACAGATTTTTCTATATACGATACATATCGATAGGATACTATATCGATGTTTGATAGATCGATCTCACATTTTATTGTTGACAGGAAAACTAAGTTCAGCTGCCTTTGCAATAAAAAAATTAGGCAACTTACAGATGTAGATGCCGCTAGGACAGTATACTTTAGTTATTTCCCTAGCATTATGTCATATGGCATTCTGATGTGGGATATGGCTGCAGATATAGAGTCGATATTTATTTTACAAAAAAGAGCAGTAAGGGCCATTTATCAATTGGGTTCAAGAACATCACTTAGAGATAAATTCAAAGAAATTGGGATATTAATAGTGGCTTCCCAATTCATATAAAATTGTATACTTTATGTTAGAAACAATATTACATACTACTAAACATAGTCATATACACAATTTGAATACTAGAAACAAAGATAAACTTGTTTTGCCGTCATGCAGGCTAAAGAAGGTACTATCATCATTTATGGGTCAAGGTATACACTACTATAACAAACAAAATATAACAAAATTCTTTTGGAATTTTAAATTTACCATTGCCTAAGTTTAAAACCCATATTAAGAATTGTCTACTCAATAACAAAACCGCTTGGTGTTAAATATGGCTCATTTTTCATGTATATTAAATTGTGTATCGGTAAGCTTCTTTCACTACACATGTGATTCGATTCAATCAAATCAAATCAAAATTTATTTATTCAGTTTAGGCTTTTACAGAGCACTTGTGAAAGTAGAAAACTACGCCATCGGTTCGCAAAACTACGGCGGGAGACCTTGTACTGAGAAGAACCGGCAAGAAACTCAGCAAGGACTGTTTTTTCTCCCTGTTTTATTTCACACAGAAAAGTCTTATTGAAAAGTGACTTCATTAGAATATGAAGTCACTTTCCATTACAGTATTAGGAAATACATACAATAAAATTAAAATATCTAACACCATGCCTCTTTGTCATTTAAATAGTTCTTAAGCGTATAATATCCTTTACTTTGTAGACAATTTTTAATATGACTTTTAAAATGATTTATTGGCAAATCTAATACATCACTGGGGATCTTGTTAAAGTATTGTATACCTTGACCCATGAAAGAACCTAATACTTTCTGTAACCTGTAAGCAGCCCTTGCCGAGTTTCTTGCCGGTTCTTCTCGGTACAAGGTCTCCCACCTAGATTTACGAACCGATGGCGTAACTCTCGACTTTCACAAGTCCTTGTAACAGCCTAGACTGAATAAATTATTTTGATTTTGATCTTTACGTCTTTGTTTGCTGATTTGCTGAACCGGTCTGCGATTTAAATCGATACACAAATTCAATGAGGAGGTATTTAAAAAAAAACGAAAGCCCTTAAAAAGAGGGTGCCTCTAGCAAAAGTAGATTTTTGCAGGAAACGAATGGACCAAAGACAGTCATTTCTGTTGCTTTTAACGAATGGTGTGCGGAATCGATTACCATTAATCGATTTTTTTAAAATAATCAGTTGCTATCGATTATGATTTCCTAATCGACGATTAATCATCGATTTTTTCTTAAAACGTTAGCAATAGGAATAGTTAGTATAGTTTCTACTTACTTTACTTCGATAGCTCAGCAACACATAGCGGATCGCGAGTGTGAATATTATTAGTAGATATTCTATTACTTATTATGGCAACCCTGAAATAAAACAAATAGGTAACTTTACGCTTTGGTCGGGGTACTCCCGTTGAATGAATGAACGGATCTTACAGTTTTATTTTAACAAATACAAATTAACCGTTTCTTAGTAAATGCACATGTAAATATACACGGTACATACCTATACCAAAATAATATTGTTAACATTTTTTGTCTGTCTGTTTGTTCGGGCTAAACTCTGAAACGGTTAGACCAATTTCTACGGGACTTTCACTGGCAGATAGCTTATGTAATAAGGAATGACTAAGGCTACTTTCCATGCGGACGAAATCGTGGGTACAACTAGTTTACTTGTATAAATTTTGCATGCACAATGCTGGTATAGTAAACAATGTCTTAAAATGGATTTTTTACTATTTTTCATTATTTTATATGGCCTTAGAATACGGTGGAATTAATCTGAACTCATTAATAAGTTTTTGGGATAAAAATATTTAATAATCGTTGACACGAATCGATTATTATCGATTATGAGTAAAACTGTAATCGATTATTCGATGTGCATTATAATCGAATTGGCACATCATTACTTTTAACTAACATATTAAAAAACTGGAATTTGAAAAGTTCGAAACTTAGATATCTTGGTCCATTCGTTTCCTGCAAAAATCAACTTTTGCTAGAGTCGCCATCTAGTGGAGGTACTTTTTTTATATTAAAGTTGCTTACTTTTTACGATTATTAGGACTTTAGGTTGTCAGTTAAGTTAATGAATAATCCAGCTGAGCTTAGATCATATTACATTGAATTGATAAAAAAAATGGTTTAATTATTCTATCGTGAATTGATCTTTTAAATCGATTGATTATAATAATAATCGAATATATTAAATCGGGTATCCCTAATATTGTGAAAAGTTTTTTGGGAAGCAATATGGGATACTTCAAGCCATGCTAAAGGTAGAATGTACAAATCTATTCAGGAATCAATACCTCACAAACCATGGTTTTTTAGAACGCATTTAAATAAATATGCTACTACAAGTCTCATCAGAATGCGTTTAGGGCATTTTCGTACTGCCTCTTATCTTGCTAGACTAGAAATAGCTGACAGTAGTCTATGTGCTTGTGGTGCTGGTGTTGAAGACTTAAACCACATTTTCTTCGAATGCCTCTTCCATGGTTGCTCCTCTTTTATTAATTCTCTAATATCGGCCCGCATTTCCCTTCCTACATCCCTGCAAACCCTTTTAAACTGTATTAATTTTGAATTATATAACATAATATCAAGTTTCATAACCGATCATAATATTCAGTTATAACTATATATCATAACATATTTCTAATATTTATTTAAATCCTGATCCTATTATCCTTTCCTAATTCTGCTCCTTCGTTATTTTCCTTAAAACGGTTTCCCTACCTTTTAAACTCCGTTGGGCTAAGGCATAAACCGTGCAAGCCAAGAAAAAATAAATAAAAAAAGGTTGGGTAGCTTTGACCCACAGACCAATAAGCGCTTTGACCAATCTTCTTCTTGGTCTGTGGCTTTGATGACCGTTTTTTGATTCCGTCGTTAAAACTACTACAGAAAGTTCTAAGTTATTTGACTTAGAAAAGAGGCTTTTTAGTTCGTTAATTTGTTACATTGAGTACATTTGTATAATTGAGAAATTTGTAACGACTTACGATTCTTCCGACAACACAATTTTTCGCTGTGTAGCTCAAGTTGAAATCGCAATATGTCAAATATTTCAAGGAAGCACCGGCAATCGAAGACGAGGATATTCGATCGACAAAATCGGTGTATTAATTGTTCTTTCTTGATCCCCAAAAAGTTGTATGATAAGCATCCCGTGGAACAAGCGCCGATGCATATAGTTACTACATTGCGGGCATGGATATTTCCCACCGAGGTGAGTAAATATCGCAGGAATGCAATCTAATAACAGTAATGGATGATATAAAATCGTGATGTATGATAGTTAATCTTTTTGTGACTAGGTTTTGGATTAATTTTGATGGAATTTTGTAATTGTTTATCCCACACTTTCAAATGATTTTTTGGTCACTCTAACCTGAAGACCAAACTTTAAGACATGATAGCAGTTTTCAATGTAGCTTAAGCTTTGATAGTTTGTTGGTGCATTAACATGCTAATACATTATTAAAATATTCATGTGTTCTGTGTGACAGAAATACAATAAACCAAATTACTTATACATATTCACATGACACATAAAGGCCAATGCTGTTTCTCCAAATACAATATTTTCATAATGCTAATAGCACCCAAAAGAAACTATATGAATTTAAGATTTATGGTGCAACAGAGTTAGGATCCGACATTGCCTCTGATGCACAGAAAATGTTGATGGCAGGATGACAGTTTCAAAAATGTTAAATCTTCCATCACTACCTAAAAATCTGCAAACATTGGTAGCATAATAGAGATTATTCAAAGTTTACAACATAGAGATATTTGAGACCTTCATTAGCATCATGCATTTTCCCAATTGCTCCTTAGAATTTATCTGTATTTAAAATTGTACTCCCACCAGCTTCCTTGTATTATTTTGTGACAAAAATTGCCATTAATAGTTATAATTGTTTATTTGCAAGAATATGGAACAAATGATATTACACAGTTATTAACAATAGTTTCAAACATTCTACAGTATATGAACAATGTGTAAATTTCATTAGGTATATAATTTCCTTCCAGAAATGCTTAATAAAAGATAAACTATAAGGCATTCAAAATCATAAGTATCTTAAATAGAATACATAAATACAAATGTATTTCAAAAAGAAAAGATTTTCTTTAAATCTGCCTAATTCTGCCACTTTTTTCAAATCGTCAGCATAATCTGCAAGAGTTAACATTTAGCTGTGCAATCTGTAACAAAATTAGAAAATTTACTTTAAATTTATTGAATTTTCACTCAAATGCAAATAGAATTACCCTGCAGGTGTTATAATAATTTATGAGTTATGTTTCATAATTATTTATTGTAATACTTAAATATATTTAAGAATCTATTATAATTATTTTTATAAAAGATCTTGTATTTGCCCTTTTTGAACATTTATCTGAAGTTCTGGGCTAGGTGAGTTATGTTGTATGGTCGGCTTTTCCACAACTCATCATTAGGTGCCCTAATTTGCATAAATAACTTGGTTGCATTAGTGGGCCAGCAGGGAGGGCAAATCAATTATTACTATTCTGATGTGACTTAATTGTCTATAATAGAAAAAAAAATCATATCTATGTATATAGTTGTAGCAAGCATGCAACATTTAGTTTAGCAAATAAATTAAAATCTTTTGTAATTTTTTTAAATAATTTGATTCTATTCTCATGTGACTTAATTATCTATAATAGAAAAAACAATCATACCTATATAAGTTGTAGCAAGCATGCTACTTTTAGTTTAGCAAATAAATTAAAACATTTTGTAAATTATTTTTTTTATAAATAAAATTACATATTTCTTATAAAATATTGTTTGGTTTTAAAAGTAAGTAAGATCTTAATACAACAGTTCTCTGAGTGGATTTTCATTTCAGTTGTCACCAGATTCCATAATTTGCACAGAATGCTATAAATTACTTCAGAAACATACAAATGCAATTAATGAAGAATCAAATATGATGAGTGAAGAATGTTTGCCTATTTTAGGGCATAGAAGTATTTGCTATCCTTGTGGAATTTCAATTTCAAGAAGTGCGAGAACATACAGTGTGCCCCATGATGTAAAAGAAAGAAGTATTTTATTGGAAAGTGTTCCACTCCATTTGGTAAATATAATTTTTATTTGTTTTTTGTACACAACATGATGGATCAAGCTTAAGTAAAAATATTTAATAATTACTCATCTCAGAGCATTGTCAAACACCCGGTTTCTGAAATGAAAATTTAGAGTTAAGAACTTCTAAAACTGTACTTAAACTTTACTAAAACAGGTTTTCCTTTCCAGTGTTAGATTTTGAATATTTATGTTAAATTTGTTGATAACACTTTAATAAAAGTACGTCACATAACCTTGTGAAACATAAAACAATAATCAGTAGATTATGTACATACTTTTCTCAATTCAGAAACTGGTCAATAGGTCCTGTAATCTTTTGATAATTGAAATAATTGAACAGCTACCTATTTATCTACTATTGTCCTAAAGACTAATAAAGATTTATAAAGACAACCTCTTTCACATTCAAAGATTTTATCATAATAAAATTATGAGAGTGAGGTTGTCAATGAGGAAGTATTAAAAAAATTAGTTCCTGAAATCAAACTAGATGTCGCTAATATACTTTCTTGATTCTCCATAACAAGCCTTCCTTTTATGTATAAAAGGTTTTCTTTCATGTATAAAAGTAAATTAATTATCAAAACTCAATAAACGACTGTATTGATATCTAAGTTTCGAACTTTGCAAATTTCAGTTTTTTAATATGTTAGTTAAAAGGAATAGAAAGTAGTGTCTTTGGTCCATTTGCTTCCTGCAAAAATCAACTTTTGCTAGAGTCGCCATCGAGTGAGGTGCTTTTTTTAGTCCTTTCTTTTTTTATACTTCCTCATTGCTTTGCAAAATTTGTTTTCGTTTTTTGGACAAAAAGTAATGTTAATGAACATTACTTTAAAATGACACACATACATACTTGAAATTTATTGAAATTACCGTCACGGCTTGAAATGTCACATGACTGTTGATGATTATTTACGTGGGACAATTTAAATTAATGAATAAAAATAGAGTTTTCCTTTATTTAATAACAATAATAATATTTAATAATAATAATATTCAATAAAAATAAAACTCGAATGATTGTTGGGTACAAAACTCTGACGTCATGCGACATTTCAACTCAATGGACAGCTGTAATTAAGATTAAGAAAAAAAAAACATGTGTTTATTCTTCAATAATTCTGAAGACAAACAAAAACACATGTCATCATCCTTATTAACCACTACCAACATACCACTTATTTTATATTGTTTAAATTTGTGTCTTACTAATAACTCTGCCATTTCATGCTTTTGCGGAAAAAATATTAATATTGATTATTTTTCATTGTCAGGTCTCAAGAATGGAAAGAGTATGTGTGGCTTGTTGGATGTCTGCATACAGAGAGGTAAAACGGCAACACCAACATGACACAAATCATAGTGTCCCAAATGTGGAATCTATTGGGGATTCCCCTGATGCGCCAGTTCCACCCCCTCTTCCACCACCTCAATCGGAAAAGGTTCTACAGCAGACACCAAAAATCAAGTCTTCGCAATACAGACGTGCCGCTTGCACATCTAGTCGTTGTATATTCCAGAATTGTTCTAGATCTGAAAGATTACTCATACCATCTGCTATAAAGGAACTTGTATTGTACCGACAAAAATTCTATATACCAAACGGTTGCCGCGTATGTCGTTACCATTTGAATCAGGGTCATTGGAACGAATTAACATCGGAACTAGTGGATTTCACTGGTGAACAATTTGATGTTATTATGACGATGATGGAAAGGGCAGCCAATAGCTACTTAGATTTTTCAAACATTAAAATCATGTCTCCGCATTTATGTCGTTATTTTCTTGGATTGAATTCTGATCAGTTTTATGATCTACTGAACAGTATTCCAAATCTTGTTGACCATGTACCGAATGCTTCTATTGCGTTAAGTGTTTTATTGGTTAAATTAAAAACAGGTGATAGTAATGAGAGATTAGCTACTCTTTTCAATAAACCACGAAGTACCATAGAACGTTGGATGGGAAAAGTAAAAAGTTGTCTTAATGATGATCTAATTAAAAATCTTTTACCCTCTTCTAAATAGAATTTCGTGTGTATTGGGTCTCGTGTTAGTCAAGTCTTCAGTTAACTATGTCATCTCAATCCAGGTATTTTCTGCTTTTTTTTAAAGGTATTTTATCATCGATTGTCGGTTGTCTTAATGATGATCTAATTAAAAATCTTTTACCCTCTTCTAAATAGAATTTCGTGCGTATTGGGTCTCGTGTTTATCTAGTCTTCAGTTAACTATGTCATCTCAATTCAGGTTTTTTCTGTTTTTTACTACTACTGGATTAGGATATAATTTATTTTTCCATTTTGTGATTAACTCAGTTGTGAAAATTTGTGGCATTCATATCTCCATGGTACTCCCCGCATTTCGAATCTGATTTGAAAATATTTAAAGCACCCTCAACTAATCCGTCTCAACTGCCACCATGAACACAACGATCACTAAACGACGCCCTTTGCCAATGTTATCGTAATAAATACCAAGCTCATATTCGGATTGCAACACATTTTGAAGTTGTGGCTATTGTAAAAGTAGGTTTCTTCTTTCTGCATAGTTCATAAATACCGCCATTCAGCTGGGTCTCTCAATCAAAATATCTCTTCGATTAGATTTTTTAAAGAAATATCCCATGTTATGTAAAACCTGTCTTAAATAAGTACAATGGCAGTTCACGATACCAACTTCTTTTAAAACTGCAAGCAGCTTACGAATACTTGGGACTCATGTCAAAATCATCAATATGGATTTTCCTTTTTATTTGTTTAGGTTTTCGCGGAGACGAAAATTTCAGGTTTTCCGATGTTTGCAGATTTGAATTTCCTTCAGCTACAATTTATTAATGTTCATATCATATTTCTGTTCTATACTTTCCTTGTCAACCTTTTGTCTGAGAAAAAAACTGGGCATTGTAAATTACATTTTCACGTGTCGTGTAATTGGCGGACCCATCTTAGGATATTTTATCTCATGTATGTTTAGAACAAAGTAGCACAAACAACTGAAACGTAACCGTCACGGCGGTCGACGGCAGGCTGAGTCAGTTTGACGTTCATTAACTTGGTTCAGGACGGGGCCGTTCTGCCGTTCACACACCTCAAGCGGTGATTAGCACATCCGTGCACACTATATCAAGATCTATCACGTCGATATTACGAGTGTGAGAACAATATCAATAATACAACATGGAGGCACAAAATGACCAGCGGCGTTTATGGCAACATCAATTGTCATTAATTAACCCTTTTCCGCTGACGTAAGGGAAGCTATGTCTCGTTTCCCTTGATGGCCAATCACTTGGGGTATCTTGCTCTGTACAACGGCAAGCACAGATTGGTCAACATTGTATATGCGGTTTGGACCAGAGTTTTCTTTAGCATAGATTTCTTCAAGAAGACCAAAGAATGAGTCTACTTTTTCTTTACTGGATCCAAATTCTCTAGCAAAAGACGTGCCAGTTGCTCTTCTTACTGATAACTGGTCTCTATGACGTTTGCGAAATAGCTTAAGCCATTTCCGTGTCACCAAAGGGATTTTCTAACTGATTACGCTTTGCCAACATGTACGCCATTCTGCGAACACCGTTTCTCGTCAAACCATGAAATTTGCTCTCTATGGTTAAAATGCTCTACTAATAATCTACTTAAAGATTTTCAAGGGTTGTTGCTATAACAGTTTTTCTCCCGAGTGTCTTAGCCGCAGCTTCTTCTGGGGGTAATTCGTTTTTCTGGCACAATCGAAATAGGTAGAACTTAGCACATCGAAGTGTTTTGCAGCTCTCAAATAATTCATTTTTTTCTTTCTTACTAATTCAATAGCTTCTGCCATATGTTCTGAATTCCATTCTTTTCGCTTCATTTTGAGTTGACGCCAGCCATTCTGTTAAAACAGGATTCCTTGATAAATTATCTTCCAACTTATATATGGTTTCCTTACGTACGTATTTGTCGAAAATACGTAATAACACACATTTGCAGAAGTTTATAGCAAAATAACCATTCAAAAGTAAAGATATTATTATTTAATTTCACTCACCTTTTTGAAGAGAAAACACACAATACAACTTTTTCACGGCACTTTCCACAGAACACACAGTTAACGTCTATGTTGTAATGGCGGCACTGATTCAACATCAACTTTACCTTTTTTTATTTGACATTTGGGAAGTATGTTTGGTCTTTGAATTTGAAATAGACGGGTAATTTATGACACTATCGGGAGAAAAAATACCAGGTTTCTTAAAAGAAAGTTCATATTAAAAGAAAGTAAGAAGTTTATTGAAAAATGTTTATTACATTTTAAAATACATTGTTTAGGATTCTTTTTTAAATGATATCGTCCGTTATGTAAGCCGTTGCGCTCACGGCATTCATTTAATCGAGCACAAAAATTGTCTATAATTGTCATAGGCTCAGCAGGTATTCTCCATGATGGCTGCCATTTCGTTATGGATATTTTCTTTAAATTGTGCAAGGGAAGTCGGTTTGTTGGCGTAAACTTTTGATTTGACATAACCCCATAAGAAAAAACCATAGGCGTTAAACTGCTTGGAGGCCAACTTGTGTCGCCTTTCCTTGAGATCAATTTGCCAGGAAAAATTCACTCACTCGTGGCAGAGACCTGTTGGGCGTGTGTGAAGTTGCTCCGTCCTACTGGAACCATATTCTTTGGTGGAACTGCAAAACTTTCCTGGTATAACCTTCATAAATGGTTTTTATTTCAGTTTGTACAAAGGGCGCGTCACGTTACCAAACCTCTTAAGAGACCGTTGATATCAGGTAGGGTAGATAAAAAAAGGTAGTTTTGTTCCATCTTTCGAAAATGTTGAATGATTCTTTTGCGAATCTCTTCTAAAAAACAGCCTGAGTAGTTTATTGTATATGTTTTATATCTTTTATATCTTTCTATCTTTTATAAAGTATTTAACTCTTAGATGAATAGATTTTCTTTTTGTTATGCAAAAAATAAATATGATAGAAATGTTGCTATATAATTCAGGAAAATTAATTTAAAAAAAAATTGCGTCAATAAATGATAATATTTTGATAAAAAATACCTATGTATCATTTCTGTTACATTATGCATTCTTGGGAGATACTTATGCTAAGAAAATATTTATATTGATTTTCGTTAATTGAGGTTGGGGAAGTATTACTAAGTGTATTTTATCAAATAAAATATTATATTATTATAAAACTATTTATTAACTATTTATGAAAAAGTTCAAAGCAGTTGTTATTTCTGTTAGAGCACAGAGATATCTTACATTTACTACACATAACAAAAGTTATCTTCTTACAATTGCTTTGCTTACAACGTTGACTTTTATCGAGATAAATTTTATCATGCCCTATACCATCTTTAGAAACATCAAATGATGGCATAAATTGGCTTACAGTCGTAGGTTTCTTTGGTGGAGGAACTACTTGACAAGTGCTTGGCCTACCTCTTTTTGATTATTGGTACTAATCACCGTATTTCGTCAGTGAATATGCCAATTCTGTTCGGAAATCGGCTAGTTTCAATATTTTCTTAGCTTCTACACCCTTCTTTACTAATACATTCTTATATAAAACCCAAGCATTGATAAATAAATAAAATAAATATAAATATCTTTATTTCTCCTCACAAATTCACATACTACACTATGGGTACATACATTTTTATTTTGTTGATTATTTTACACGTTAATTTGTGGGAGACTGGTGTCTATAGTAGGCTTAGCCTGAAATAATAAATCACCAGGTTCCCACCCCACGATCGATTGAACACATCTCTTATTTTCATATAAATTAAAACTATAGCTTAACACAAACACCATTACTGTCAATCTCGACCTCTACATTAATTCATAACGCACGGTAAAACAAAACATTATATTTAGTATAACTTATTTTAAAGGTATTAGCATTTTCTCTGTTTCATCATACGATAACTCTAATAGCCAACTTTTAAGTTTTCGTTTACAGTTAAATTTTGTTAATGAAAATATAGTCAATTTACTGTTGATTTTATTATACAGATAATTCCCTAAAAAAGGAAAGAAATTATGTGATAGACTCGTACTAAAAGCTTGGACGGTGCAAACTTTACCCTTTCTTCTTTTGTTCATATTTATTTCATTGTGATAACATAATTGGGAGTGTTTTGATGACACCAAGGTCCAATAAATGATAAAAAATCCTCAAAAAATGTTTGGACTTAGTTCTAATACGATATCGACCTAGAAATTAGTCCATTAGATCGACTCCGCCCATATGCGCATTATACACCTTTATTACTTTAGGGCAAGGAATTTGTACTATCTGATTCAGACGTTTGTCGAAGCGGTCGATAGTCTCTTCGGGTTGAGAGCCAACGTAAGACGATAGAAGTAAAACCTGCTTATTGTCCTCCCAGCTGGTAGCTGAAAGCTCTATGCCATCATAAAATGTTGTGTTTTCATGAAAGGATCCTCTTGGTACTGATGTTTACATGATTTCCCAAGTCGATTCCTTTGAATGGTTTCAAGAGAGTATGTATATACCTTCTTTTTTCAAGTAGTGCACTAATGGAATATTCGTGTAGAAATTATCAAAATACTCTATGTGAACTCTTCTTGGTACTCCTCTCAACAACCGCATGACAGTGTTTGATACGACTCCTAAGTCTGGCTTATTAGGTAAGTGTTCTAGGTTTTGAGCCCCAGAGTATATTTCAAACTTGTATGCATAACCTGTTAGACTACACAACACAAATAATTTAAAACTCTATTTATAAGGCTTATTGGGCAGGTATTGTTTCATATAGTGGCCTATTTTTGTGGCACACATTTGCTCATCTAGGGATAGATGATGGTCGAATGGAATACTTTCAAACTTATTATTGAGGTAATCGATAAATGGCCGAATTTTATGAAGTCGATCATGTTGGGGGAGTGTAACCGATAAATGGTTACGATTTTTGTTCATGTGGAAGAACTGCCGGATCTTTTCAAAGCGATTAACGGTCATTACGTCTGCTATGGGATCGAGTATACAGCGTTTGACCAATAA